CTTCTGAGATTCTGCATTTCCCAATTGATTCAAATCCATTTTCAGTAGTTAAGATGAGTACAGTAGACAATCTAGCATAACAAAAAATAAAAGACATTTATTACCTTAAACGTCTGAATTCCGTTCTATTCTTCTAGCTCCAATTTAAAGCTTTACAAGCATTTTACATCTGTTACAGTGCTTATTATCTAAAGTTCCAAACTAATATTTTTTGCGCTCTTTCCTTACTGTGGCATATCCTGTTACGATAATAAGCCACATTGCTGTTCTCCTTTCTAGTATACTCATTATGTTCTCCTTTCATATTTCTGTTCGAAAGTGAAACAAAAATTGAGCCTGAGGACTTTCTTTATATAATTACAACACCAGAAAAAAAACAGTGCATATATCTCAGAATACTTTTTTGTCTTAATTACTGCATATCTCGTGACATATTCACAGCATAGAATAAGCATGTCTTTGAAGAAAATTATTGATTTTAGTTTTGTTGTTTCTTGGTTTTTTTTCTGATCATTTTTTGTTAAATATCTTTCAACATAATCAGTAAGACTATCAGAGTCTGGTATTATCATAAGATAACGATCATTTAAACCTTGATCTAATAAATCTTTAAAATTAGGTGACTGATACTGTGCAATTAAGTCTTCTTGGGTAATGTAATGACAACAGTTTTTCAACATAAATATTGATCCATCAATCAAACCATCAAAATTAATTTTCGATTGTTTACGAATTATTTTCATTTGCCCATCTAGCATTGTATTTATATCAAAATTTGATGTTTTTTCTAATGTTTAATGCAATTCTTTAACATAATGAATAAAAATGACGTAAACCAAAATAATTATCATCCTTTTTTGTTTTTAAATCATAACATAGTTGAAGACAAGCACGAGCGAAACAATTCATAATATCATCATTTAATTATACATGACCAAATGTATTCATACTTTTATGAATTGTTATAGCTGTTAATTGTAAATCGTTGAGTGTTGGATCAGGATACGCTAAATATAATGCACGATTCATTTTCAGCGCATCTAATCGCCAATTAGATATAGCAACAGAGCCATATTTACAGTTTTCAATTTCCAACTCGCTATGTAATACCTTAAGTGGATTATACAGAGATATTCCAGTGAAACCAATTTCATCGAATACAATTACCGATAACATTGTAGCTTGTGTTTTAGCATCACTATATTTCTTTGCTCGTTCAAATAGCTTTTCAACACTTTCAGATGTACAATTGTTTGAACCCTCTTAAGGTTACGATACAGCTATTAATTCCATTAACTTTTGAAAATAAGTATATTCGATTTTTTTCCTCTTAAATTCATAGCTGTATCATTTGGTGATTCCATTCGTTTAATTAAATTATGTTGTTCGTCATATAAAATCTTTTCTATTGTGTTATTTTGCGGCTGATTAAATGACATTTCTCTTTTAACCATTCTAATATATCTGAGTTGTTCCGTATGTGAATGTAAACGAAAATATTAGCATAACCTCAAAGTTAGTATAACTGATTTGAAAATTTTTTCTTTCAGTGAAAGACGATTTTCTCTACTATTAAACGTATCATCCCAGGCGAAAAAAATAGTTAGAAACGGCACAAAAGACGCGTTTTTTTGGATCGTTAAAAGTGCCGTTTAAACGCGTTCCTTGACAACACGTTTGCTAACGGTCGTTAAATTAACTGTTTTCTGACGTTTTTTGTTGAGCGCGTTTTCTAACGACGTTAAAATAATAGTTGAAATAATAAGAATAGTTAATTAATAATAATAGTTTTATTTTATATAAAACGCGTTTTAATGTGTCGTTTCTAAACGCGTTTACAAAAAGAAAAACAGTCGAAGTTATATCGTTTTAACTTTGAAAACGCGTTCAGCAAAAACGCCAGAAAACGGTTAATTTAACGAACGTTGGGAAACGGGTTATTCTAAAGTTTTGAACGACAAAAGCGCGTTTAAACGATCGTTCGCTAATTCCAAAAAACGCCTTTTCAAACGAATGGGTAAAGAAAACGCATTTAAACGACAAAAAAAACGTTGGTTTTGAAACATTTAACGCGTTTTTTGGTTGGTAACAACGAAAAAAAACGTGCTTTTTTTGTCAATTTTTTTACCCCTGGGATAATACCACTTATACAATAAACGGTAAAGTTCTAATTATCCATCATTTGTTAAATGTTTACATGTTTTAGTTATTGTTTCAATATATTTCAATAATACTGTCAAGCATAGGCGGCGCGCCATAGTAGCGAGGGGTAGCAATTGTTACCCCTATAGAAAATTAGGGCGCAAGTTAAAGTTCCTAGGGGTAGCAATAAATTTTTTAAACTCATAGTTTTAATAAATAATAACAACTCCCAGTTCCTACTTCTTCTAACAACCCCCAGAATATGTGTTATTAGGGGTAGCTTTTTTCATTCCAATTGTCTCATAACTATGTGATTATTCAGCTTTTCGTCGACGAGGATTTCACGCACCAAGCAAGACCATATTTTCCGGTAATTATTTACCGATCAATGTTCTTTCACCAATTATTTCTTTAATTAATCCCACACTTTTTGTTGTATTCAGTTTATCAAAGAATATCCAAAAATGCTTGCTGATTTGTAATAGTACTACTGCTTGTGGAATAAGATTTTTATCCATTGCGCCAATTATTTTTCTATTGGTTATTCCAGCATCAATACGAGGTATTTCTAATTCGTCGTGTAAAAGTTTTTGACATAGATAATTAATTAGAGCAGTTTTACGACAACCTAAATATAAAAACCATATCAGATTAGATGTTGTGTTTTTCTTTTGACGTTTTTCGGACATATCGATCTTAAACAGTGAAGTATTTAGTCATCGATATTTGTTAGAAATGCTGAGGGCTGCGCGATTACAATTACAAAATGTAAAGTTGAAACACGAATTACAATGTAAAAATAGAAAAATCTTCAAAATACTAGAATTGAAATAGCGATAAAAACCACGAGAAAACCGTAAGTGTCAGATTATAGCTTGATACAATATAATTCATAGTTTTTCATTACTGCCGATTAGGCATGCAACGGTTACGGTTATTAACCGTTTAACCGTAACCGTAAATAACCGTAATAACGGAAATAACCGCTTCATAACAGCTTCGTGTACTGATTGTAGAAAAATAAAGAATAATTTATTTGGAAAGAAAGAATAGTATATACAATCTTGTTTGGATTCTTTGAGCGAAAGTTGATTAAGATTATTT